AAGAAAGTTGGATCAACTGAGAGACCACCATTGCCAGGACTAACATAGGCCATAGAGCCTCCTGTCCTTCCCAAACTGAAACTGAAATTAGACACTAGTCTTTCTAAATAAGCCTGTAAAGCTAATATCCGCATTCTCTATTTCAGTTAATCGATGAAGACATGTACCACGTGCATCTGCTGTATATTGCCATTTCACTCGAATTCTAACTGTTATATCTTTTAAAAAATAAAATTAATATATGCAGTAAATATAGACTTATTTGTTTTGATGGAGATAGGGGGGTTCATGGGATTTTTAGCATGACTGTAGTAATATTCTCACTAAAGGGCTAAGCGAGTGCGTAGACCAATGTAAGTTACCACACAGGGTGCCTTTGAGTTACTCGTGTTCCATTAGTGTCGGTAGAGGCATTACTTGCTTATCATGTGACATTTGAATAAGAAGCTATGAGATTAGACGCAGGGACGATTAGGATGTGTAACGCGTGTCCATCCATCAGCTGCCCTGGCAAGTCATGGTGCTTAGAATAAGTTGTAAGAGTACCCGAGTCTGTAGGTTTCCCAAGAAAATGACGAAGATATGTACAAAATCACCTTATGAAGAGCGACTCCAATCACTTGACCTCTACCCATTAGAGTATAGGCGTCTTAGAGGTGACCTGATGGTTTACAGTATCCTTAACACTTCTGGACATTCTCTTAAGCACTTACTAATGCTTAGTCTCAACACTAACCTAAGGTGTAACACCCAGAAACGAAAAACGCAACATAGCAGAATGGACTGTAGACACAACTTCTATCCCTTAGGAGTTGTCAAGTGCTGGAATTCGATGCCCACCGAGCTAGTCCAAGCGACTTCCCGTGAGTTCTTTAAGAGGCAACTGGATGTATTCTTGAGGATAGTATCATACTATGATTTACCAATTTCTTTTCCCTCTTTTATTGTTAACATACCTAGGTTCCTGCCTGGAGGTTTTGGTGATCCCCTTCTACTAGACACGGAAGCCTATTAAGCGAAAGCTTCTATTCAGTCCACAACCATTCGAAGACATGAACTAGGTTGTGAGGCTTGCTTATCACAAGTTTCTTGCAACGATTAAGTAGATAAAACAAAGTAGCATTACATTCAAAAATTTATTCAAGAACTTTCATTAAGAATCGAATATCAAACAAAGGTTTAAACCAAGTTCCCGTTTAAAGGTTGTATTGGTGATGTTAAGCTGCAGTTTTTTTCCAAACGGAAGACTAAAAGAAGTCAAAAAAATACTAGAAGTGGTTGTGGGACTAAAATAGACGTCCAGCATCCTTTTTATAATCTGCTGTTAGTTGGGTCTCCCGTAAACAGTTTCATAGTTCTAAGGGTGAAACAGTTTTTTAGGATCTGTGAAGACTCACTCCTGTTGCATTCTAAATGAGAAAATAGTAATGAATTTAGTCAGAAATGTGAAATAGACAAATAAATAAATTACATGGCTTTTAGCAAAGAATTTATGCAGTTGTGATTTACCTTGAGTTCATGAATATTAGATAAGGTCAGTTACTATTACTTGTGCAAAGCATAACATGGGCTTAGTACCGTATTGCAATGCTTTTATTATTTTGCTCCCATTTAAGTACTCCCATGCACCTGCGTCTAGTTTAACAGGAAGACATACAAGCAGAGTAAGTGTCTGATAAAATAAAAATCCCAGTTGTCAAAAAGATTCTTAACATTTGTTTATAGCCAGCTGCATTTAATTGAGAAACAGAACACTCATCTTCTAAGACTTTATACTGCTGTTTTGCGGGCAACTGAAAGCTCAGACGCTTAGCTATCTTGCTACCGATGTTATTGCTGGGGAAATTGTTTAATGACAGTGATCATGAAATATGGTCAGTGATAAATGTACAGTCTAGAAATAAACACCAAACATACTTATCGCTATCTTATAATGTATGACAGCAACAGCATCAAAGGCACGTTTTTTCCTATTTTTAATCAGACTGATCTGAATCAGTATACTCATTAAAAGCAGGCAACTCTACTTACTAAACTGATCTGTTTCGTTACAGGCTTCAAGCACTATACTTAAGAATAACATAATTCTTTCAACGAAACTGAATTATACGACAACCAAGAATACTAAACTAAGCAAGTGCCATAATTATTGTTTCATTTGCACAGACATGTTGCTCAAAGTAGTTAAATGGACATAATTAGGCCAATAAAACCAAAGCACGAAATATAGGCCATATGAACCTACCTAACAGAAGATAAAGAATACATATATTGCTTTCCGACGGAAGACAGCAGTCAGTTAATCAAAGAAACATAGTTTACAGTACAACAAAACTTTCTTCAGTAAAATCATGCACTGACAGTCTATCTGGAAACAATCAAATATGTGAATTAACTCACTATGACTTGGGATAACATCTCAGCATGCAGTAAACGTATAGTGTAACGCAGTCGGACATGCCGAATAAAATTTTTAAAAAAGAGCAAAATTAGCTACATAATCTAGTTATTTAATTAAAAATACATTATGAAATAACAAAATATGTGGTTACTTGAACGCACAAATGACCGTTATTACATTACGCGATACATTAAGTTTACATGGTTGCGTTGCGGATAAGATCACCCGTCAGTGTTTGGAGTAGAGAGCGAATTTTACTTGGGCAGTTTGGTAGTATGACTTACTTTTCTTAAAAAAAACATTTTACGTCAAGTCATGGAAGAAGGTTTATCCAGACAAATGCAGCAGGAAATTTTTCAGATTACCTGTGGGCATTTAATCGGTTTGTTGTACGATTCATATTAGAAGGCGTTACTGTTCAAGGCGTTGTTGAACTCCGAATGCCTGTCTCATCTTCGTTACATTAGGTAGGTAAATTGATAAGTTACATAAAATAATTACCAATCACAAAATTAAACGTCTCCGTGAATACAGGAATATTATGCTAACCCTTCTGACAGATCAAGTTTAGTTTGTCCGACTGATAATATTTAGTTTTTAAAATTTCGACAACATTTATTGGGAAATTTAAGCCTAATTCCACGATCGGACTGCGGTGGCTAGTACAACGTCAAGCTCACATAGATCATTCTAGCTTCTGAACAAACTAATTTAATTATTCTTCTTAAACTACATCCCAATTCTGCCGCTTATTCGCTTATTAACCCCGACTTTGAAATGACTGGGTGCTCATCACGTCCCCGCAACTTATTCTTGGTCCGTACATAAATATTGAGTTACGGTTGATCGAAACAAATAAACCCATTCGCCTTCTTTACTGCTCGTCATTTCGTTTCGTCACGCTTTCTCAACCTTGTTTACTTCGCTTCATTTCTCTAATCGTCTGTTCAGATCAACGAGTGCACGAAATATACGTATTCAAACTTCGTTTTCGTATTTAACTTATTCCGTTATTCACTAACTCGATTTAAGTTGCTAATTATGTACGAAAATTAGTGGAATGCATATTTTCGTGGCAATCATACGATTTAACTGTCAGAAATATGACCACAAAACAACAGATAATGTTCCCACCCCAGGAATCATGCATCAAGTCACAGTCATAAAGTGAGCAGTCCCTGTTTGTTCAAGCTACCCATTTAAAAGGTAAGGACGAATCAATATGGTAGTCGTCATAACCGAAGTTTCAAGTAAAATAACACTGAATTAGTTCAATAGAACCATAGAAATTCATTAGAAACGTGAGAAAATCTGAGACTGCAATAAGAAAGTAGTAAGTGCATTGTCTCATATCTAAATGTCAACAGACTGTACAGCTAAATTGACCAAGGAGAGTAACTTCACGTCTAAAAGTAAAGCAACAAGTTACACAACCAAATTGTACTTGGTGGGATTTTCATACACATTCGCAAAACGCTTTTTAAAATGCTTTTGCAGTTATTACTAATTTGCTGAACTCATGCAATAATGATTGCTGGCAAGTAACTATTATTGAATACAAGTGATTGAAATGCGGGACTGGTGGGCAAACCGTTCGAACCATATGGTGTCTGTGTACCCATCACTTTTAAGAATAACACGGAAGTTCTGTGCATGGTAAGGTTATTGTCTGTAACAAAGGATCCAAACCCGGTAAAACCAGCAATTAGGAATGCATGGATTCGACGATTTATTTGAAAGATGATGGACGTATAGAGAAATATGTAATATAATATGACTATTTAATGTTGAATATGCTCAGTGCTGTGTACGCGATCGTGATCTAGTGTGTATGTTTGCTCGACCGCCTAAATCCAGGGATGTGTCCAGTCAATTTAACGACGTCAGCATGTGCCAAAAACCAGCGGAACTATTTATTTTTCTGATTTATTTACCTCTACTAGAGGATTACTAAATCTGATTCAATGTTTCTCAGGCCACTCATTGAGAAAATGGTCTGATTTCAATTATGTGCCCTACGATCTTAAAAACGTAGGGAAGATCACCCATAAAACCTACAGAATAAAGAACTTATAGTTGATTAGGTATATTTATCTCAGATTTGTGCTATGTAGAATCTTTCCCTGATTGCTCCAGAATGCAGTCTAATCTAATTAAAGTATTCTGCCGAAATTTTGGCAGTGTCGTGAAGTTTCTTGCAAAATATAAACAAATTCTCTCTGCTTTTACTTTACGAAAACGGGATTATGTCCTATATATAAAATGACAACACAGAAGGTCAGCTTTTCGTCTCCCGGTTAAAACTTACAATTTGCTTTTGACTACATAAAGTTTCTATCTGATATAACATTTCTGAATACTCCTGGACATCACTTACCATATGGCACACTACCTACACGATGGGTGGGTTTCACCATTTCACTATTGTCCTTCCTATGATATTATCTGGAAATTTGAATGCCCTACATCAAAGTTAGTAAAGTGTTTAACTCTTCTGTAAAACAACCTGTTGAGTTGCGCTATCTAGTGTTAAGGTTTTTAGATAACCAAGTTCACGTTTTAGTTCACTAACGATATTCATGGCGCCATCTGTGAAAAAATGAAGTCCAACGAGAAATCTGGTGGACACAGTAATAGTCTGGTCAAATCTAGTAGGTCATCTTCAAAGCGAAATGATTTTGATCAGAAGAAGAAGGTTAGTTCACTGCTGGTTAATTTCTCAAATCTCAGAAAGAGGAAGAGCATACACAGCAAGTGTTTGAGGAGTTTGTCGCCACTTTTGAGGAGCCTTCTAAGTCCCGAGCGTGGGTTAAGGGTGGTGTCGTCAATCCGTCTTCAGGTATATAAGTTTGATTGTTAATAATACCAGCTGCTATAGGCTCCTCAGAGGATACGAAAGGGACTGGCCGCATATACAGACCTGTCTCGAAGTTAGATTCTAGATTAAATAAAACTGAGGAACAAAATAAAGCAGATTTCAAGAAATCCACTGAAAAGCCTGTAAGGAAATATCTACTTTATTTTTGTTTGTAGCCAGCTCTCGGCAAGCGCAAGGGACAAGAACAAAAAAAATCTAAACTAGAACAGTTCAAAGAGGAGCTCAAATTGTATGTTCATGTGACAATCCTCTAACTTGACCACAACTAGGATTCAACAACAGAGAGAGCAAAGACATGCATTAAGACAAGGGAGAAATCAACTCTCTACACAGTCTGAACTAGATCTCTCCGATGTTGGTATGCGTAATCGGGAATATCGGAGGGGTTCTTCGAATAATCAGGGTGGAGATTCAGGCATGGGTTTTCACAACACAGTGTCGACACCACCGAGCTTTTATTCTAAACGCAGCCAAAATGATCGTCATGATGGTACTTTCCACTTTTGATAGTTAACCTTATTTAGTTGATTACCCATATGATTACGATGGTGATAGAACAACGACAAATCTTTTTCTTGGGAATCTAAACCCTAAAGTATTTCCGTTTTATTCAGTACATCACATATTCAGATGACGGAGCAACAACTGTGCGAGGCTTTCGGTCGTTATGGTCCTCTTGCAAGTGTCAAAATAATGTGGCCTAGGACAGAAGAAGAACGTTCGAGAGGAAGAAACTGTGGATTTGTTGCTTTCATGAATAGAAAAGATGGTGAACGAGCCCTCGATAACATTAGAGGTCAGTTTATCTTGCTTTTAGTTTTGGTTTAAACGTGATTTGCACCAGTTCACCACTTTCTTAATGTCTGTCAAAGCACGCGTCTCCATTTAAAAAGAGACCCTAAGTTTGATTTATGCATTTTAAGCGGTGAATTGTTAGTGTTGGGTTCGAACCAGTATTACAATATAATTAACATGTTAAATTTAGTCTCAGTTTATTTCTTAAGATACTAATTATCTTTCATCATAGGTGTAAAGATTTGCAACAAGCCGTGCCTTAGTTATACCTAACATGGGGTCTCATACAGCTTTGTATCTACTCATCTTGGTAGTAGGCAAGAGAACCAATCCTTGTGTAGCTAAAGACCGTGTATCTTTAGAATTCATTTGTTCCCAAGAAAGTAGATATGCAACATTCAGATTGTGTGCTTTATGGTTATATTATGTATTCTAATAGTTGAGTAGGCTCACGTGAATCGTGTGATTCGTGTCATATGTATTTGGTTCCTCTTTAAACCAATGTTTGTGTTTTAATAAAATTAACTATTTTCACCTCCAAAGAACTGTAAATGTTGTGGAGATATCGTCCTAGTAACGCTGATCTATCGACATTGTCAGAGAAAAGTGCAGGTCAGTATTTAATCGATCCGTTGTAAGTCCTAGTTTCTGTGCTTTAAGCACTTTTTGTCCGTGAAAGTCGTGTAGTGTAGTTTTTGTCTTCTAATATCGGTAGTAGAAATCGAACGTCAGTCAGTTTGCGAGGTTGTACTGGAAAACAAAGTTTCGCTTTATTACCACTTGTCTTATCCTGGTTATCATACTATCAGGTGTGACAAATTCACTCTAGGGATACTTCGCTTTTCTCTATTCTACATGTGCAGTAGAAGAGGATGAAGTCTATTCGTCTTATAGAAAGATCCTTCAGTATTGTTAGGATTATGATTTCTCGTTATCTTACGAAATTTGTCAATATTTTTAGTATGGTGGGTCCCTTAATGTACTACTTTGTTAAACTAATGTTGTAGTATCTTGATTGATTCCGTGTATTTGCTTCCTTAGTTCTTGATTTGTGAACTTATTCATTAATGTAATGACGCTAAGATTCACAATTCCTTACAAACAACTACACATCATTTTCAGCAAAAATACTATAATGTCACAATGGAAACATAACAATAGCTCTGCTATTCGAAAATGGTGTTAACTAAGCTGTTAGATTGAAGATATAATCGTCTAAGACACAAGTCTTTGGATATTGTTATCAGCATTTTGTCCACAAAAAGACCAGGGTGCTTCATTAATGCGAATCTAGGCATAAATGAGGACTTAAATTCCAACTTCATACACTAAATCGAATATATAGTAAGCTAGCATATCCATAATGCTTTCATTGAAACTCATGTGTCCTAGAAATGATATATTTCTGCAAAGCGCTAGCTGAGATATACATGATACATCAACTTATAAAGTATGAAAGTCTTAAAATAGCAATAGAACATACCACATTTAAACCAATGTTATATTGGTACTTAACCTCCAAAAGTTAATATATTAAAGTTTTGTTGTGATCAAACAAAATGTTTGCCATATTCCCATAAGTCATATTAATTGGCTAGATTAATATTAATATCAAACACTTGCTTCTGTCGTAATTTTCTTCATCACACAACTATATTTTGAAGTCATTATTATTCATAAGTGACAGATCGAAATTCTATTTTCTTGTTCGTCAAGGAACATGGCATAATGTAATTGTGTGTTTATATAAACTGATGATTCATTTGTACTCGATGGCTGCATGATTTCGAAGTCTAAAAACGATATGTTTGTTCGTGCGCACCTGATTCTTCTTTATCCGAATCGCATCATTTCTGGGATTCCTAAATCGCACTAGAATTCAGATACAGCTAATTATCACATTAATGCTACTTAAGTCCAAAGCAGTTTAAGTTCGACAACTAATAGAGTTTCTACCACTTGTCCCTGACCTTCTCGTGTCTGTTTGACGATAAAATAAACACTACACTGAATGGTTGCTTTCTAAACCACAAGTATTTGTTGCTTGAAGATTAAAGTGAAAACCTTTGGTCTAGAGCATTTTTGGTGATTGAAACACCATCTGTGTAGAAGTTCAAGCGTGGAAGTTTAGCTGCATAATTAAGTTTTGTAGCTTATCCGGGTTATTGCGATCATACATCTGCCATTTCTTATTGGCAGTATGATTTCACGGCACGAAAAAGGACTAAGACTTTTTGATTAGATATAGTTTTGTAAGTGGTGTTCTCATTACAGTTTACATCCACCTAACAACCGAGAACGATAATAAAAAAGTGAACCTCAAATGTAAAGATAATAATCAAGGAGTGATGAAAGATCACTTTACGGATAGGAAAAATAAGCCTTTTTCCATATGAATATGTTATCTTTTCTCTGCGGAATATAAAAAAGTATAAATAGTGGTAATTAGAGAACGGTGGATGATATCAACAAACATGGTCGGTAGGGGTGCAGCGTGTGGTTATGAATTCTCGTCCTACGGGCGGATTTGTCTAGCTTGTAGCGAAGCAAGAACCCCAAGTTGACGAATTCTACCCTTGTTAGTGCTTATAGCATTAAGTAGAGGCAATAATGAGGCCTCTCACTATACCCTCAGCCAACGTTTTGGAGCTAAGCGAAGGCCGAGTTTCAACGTGACGAAACAAGAGGCTGTGAACAAACGAACAGTAAATACTGAAGATTATAAAATCACATTCTTTCACTGAGACTCGAAATCACTTTGTGGTGCTTCCGTCAAACCTCGCCCACTCAACATATTGACATGGAGAATGTAAAGTCCGGGATATAAGCGTACTATGGCTTCTAATCTTACGCCCCCAGAAACTCTCATATTGTTCTATCACTTACATTTACACTTGCCAATTACTTACGTACAGATTCGAACACGTTTCGTACGCATCTATGCGTTGATTAGTACGTGTCTTTATATTTACAGGTATCTGTTTTATACTTATGAAGATCGAGCCACCTACTACACACAGAGTCCGCTATTAATCACTCAGTTTTACACTGTATTTTAATTGTCTCTTATCGTTCTTCTGAAATATGGACTGAATACTCCTTAAATATCTCTCCATTTCATCACTTGTTTCTATGTTCTTTTTAATGGAATGGGTAAACTGAATACATATTCAGCAAACAGGACACATATTTTATAAACATCAACATCATATTAGTGTCAAACATCGGGCAGCAAATCTTATTTCAGGTGGTGCTGAATTCAATATCTAGTACCCTTGGAAGTCTGATGTGGTTTTTATAGCGACTTGGACTAAGTATTTCTCACTTTGTCAACGCAAGTGTCCAAGTACAACTTTTGAGTTATTACAGTTTCACTGAACACCCGTTTCTGATCCTAGCTAGAAGCAACCGGTGCTGCAGAGTTTGTACCGTGGAACCCATTGAAGACTAACGGTGTTTTTGTCAGAACGTAACTCACTTTGTTATTTAGCCACTACAAGTTCAGAGTGTTGAGGCAAAGAAAATTACAACAACCATGGCCGAAATATATGTCTTGGCAAAACAAAACGAAGATTATCAGAGAAATCATACAAGGAAAATGGTGCCATTAAAAATTAAAAGTAACTGTGAGCATAAATGAACAGGAATCATAATTTCAACCGGAAAATAAGCGTGAAACATGGAAACAAAGGGATTTCAACATCAACTTGAAGTTCGCGTTACAGATAACGTCTTTGCTGCCAGAATGCAAACCTTAGCAGTTTTCGCACATACGTGCAAAGAATCTCACTCTGATGTCGCCATGTTGGAATTAGGATCAGGTAACCAACCGACTTACAACACTCTCTCTGACCTCAACAGTGGAGAACAACACAAATTGGTTAGAAATAGGGACTGAGAAGAGCAATATTTTCAACTCTCTCTAGAATGATTTCCCTATTACAACAAGATACAGAAAATTTAACGTTGCATATCAAGCTAGGTACATGAAAACCGCTTCAGCCATGAGTCAGTGTTGGCTGCAATTAAACGCAACGCAATTTCGTAAATGTGCCCTTCAGCCTAGCAACCAATCAGAATGAGGCGGGAATTATTATATCCGCCATCTTTGTAGGCAATGGCGGCCGGCTTTCTTCATTATGTGCTTCTTTCAGCTATTTCTTTTGTGTGGTTATGTGATTTAATGTTTCAGCGTGCTTAAATGCAAAAGTTAATGTGATTTTCTAAATGTTGGAGCGAAATTTTCTTCTGATTTAGCTTTGTTTTCTGGGTTTTTTCTGCTGCTAATCAAGTCAATGTATTTCTTCAGCCAAGCTGGCTAGTCTTATGTTTTATAATGGTAATCGGTTTTGTTTTGACTTGTTTTTAGATATCCAAAGCCTGAGTTTGTTTCTCTAGCTAAAATAATTGTTGCCGCTGCCTGTGACTCTAACTGTTCGCATGTTCGTTCCTAACAGTCCTTTATGATGTTATCGGCAAAATGAAAGAAAATAATCAACGGTTTTTAATTCTCTTCAGTATTATGGACAACACTATCCCCTCAACGAGTCAAACTAATACTGAGTGCTTAGCAGTAGTTGATATCAGCACTGTTTTCGGAAGGACCCAGACTTCCGACAACCATAAACGAAATCACAGATACTACCAATCTATTGAAGAGAGTTTGTTATTAAAAATATGTCATATAGCAGTAATAGAGGGGTTGTACTCAT